TGGGAGTTCATCAAACTGTTCTTTATACTCATCTATATGTGTGAAATTTCTATAATAGAAAGCAAATTAAAAAAAAAATGCATCCTGCGCCTGAAATAGAACCACGGTATTCCTTCCTTTAAGAGGTAAACAGAGGGCTGCCCCATTTTCTCATTCGGGGTGGCCATGTCATATCCAACACCTGCTAGGTGCAAACTCATATTATCTCATTTCATCCATAATGCTGAGAAGTAGGTGTTACTGCCCCCATTTCAGAGATGAGGAAACTGAGGCTCAGAAGGGGTGGGTGAGTTGCCCAAAGTTGCATGGTGAGTGTATGGCAGAGCCGAGGACCTTCTCAATGAGACCCACCCTGACCACCCCATCTAATTCTTCACCCCCCCACCATAGCTCCCCAACCCACCTGACCCTGCTTTAATTTTTCCTTTATCCACAGCACTTACCACCTCCTAATATATGCATATTCACTTATGACGTCTGTCGTCTGTCTCCCCTAGATAGAATGAAAGCTCCAAGAGAGCAGGGATCTTTGTCTTATTCACTGACGTATCCTGGGCACAGTGCCGGCCACAAAGAGGGCGTTCAAAAAATATTTGTCGCACGACCTGAAATAATACTGAATCACACAATGAGAAGGTTAGTTCCTCTTCATTTGTCTTCAGTCTTTCCAATCCCTTCAAGAAAGCCTTGGCTTGGTGCTCAGGTGTCTTTAAGCTCCTCTCTATCACTCACTCACCTACCTTAATGACAAGGGGACAGTCCTAGAGTTCAGATCCCAGGACAGATGATCCTATCTGGTGTCTGGACATTGAAATCTTCTGAGGGTCTTTTAAAAATGCCAGTGCCAGCAGCCTTTAAAAAAATCCCACCTTCAGAGACTCTGGTATCATGAGTCTGGACTTAAGACACCCTCCCCACCTCCCCACACACACAAACACACACTTTTTTTTTTTTTTTTTTTTTTTTTTTTTTTTTTTTTTAAGTTCAACTGCAATGTGCAGACTGGGTTAAGAATCACTGAGCTGTAGTTAATCACACTTTTTCCTTGTTACTGTATCGAGTTTTCTGGTTGTTTTTATCTAGGGCAAATGACTTCTTAAAGTGGTAACAATGTTTCCTATTTGAACACAGCGGGAGAAAAGGGAGTAGATTTAAAGAAAGACATAAAGCAAATAGTAACTTGAGCTTTCGGCAAAATGCATGATTGATACATGTTATCTCGGTGTTGCAAACAATGAAATTGAGCCACAGAGAGGCTTCAAGTGACGAGTCCCACAGCTAGAAAGTAACATTTTGAACCTAGGGAATCCAGTTTGCCCTCTGCTGCTGAATGTTAGGTGCCTATTGCCGCCTAGTGGTCTCGTTTATTTGCTCCCAAGGGGAGGGCTTGGCCTTTATTTACTGGCCTACCTTTCACCTAATAGACAGCTCAGCCCTTCACAATTTGGGGGGAGTCCTCTTTCTGATCTCCAGCATGTTCCCTGTACCCACCAGGTTCTTGCCAGCCACAAATGCACACACAGCCAGCATACTGAACATGACCAAGCTGGAGCACAGCCCAGTGGCCAGTTGGAGTCCCATCTTAGATGAACTTCAACTCGGAGCGGGTCTTCTATATCACATTGAAGCCTGTGTCCCTTATCCCAGAGGCAATGGGGAGCCGTGACTGGTATGAGAGCAGACCCAGAATAGGTGCAACAAAGTATTTCCCCGGGAAAGGGCAGCACAGCGGACGTCTGGTATTTTCACTGTGAAACAATCCCTGAGCCAGAGCCAATATGAGCCTGTAAGTCCCTTTGGTGTGAATTTTTAAATGGCAGCCCTTCCGGGAGAATGCCAACCCATGACAGGGCATACGACTTGAGGGGGAAGCTCAACCCCCAACCCCCACTCGCCCCCACCTGCCCCTCTCAGACGCCAGTTAGAGGGGGGCTCCCTCCTGGCAAGAGGAAGCACAGGTCCCAACCCAGCCAATCAAAGGACTGTGCCTCTCTGGCTCCCGGGACTGGTTTAGTGGGGTCGGGCATGACCTAAGACCGGCTGAGAGCGGCTCTGGGAGCTGCTCACAAATTTTAGTTGTGGAGAAACTCACATAACATAAAACCAACCGTTAATGATGTTAAAGAATATATACAATTCAGTGGCATTGCGACCACCATCCGTAGCTAGCTCCAAAACATACTCTTTACCCCAAAAGGAAACTCATCCCCATTAGCTGTCACTCCCCGTTCCCTCCTCTCAGCTCCTGGCACCCACACATCCACTTCCTGTGTCTGTGGCTTTGCCTGTTCTGGACATTTCATATCAGTGAAATCACAAACCGCGTGGCCTTTTGTGTCTGGCTTCTGTCTCAGAGCATCGTGTGTTCAGTGCTTCACCCCTTTTTATAGCAGAATAATATTCCATTGTATGGTCACACCACATTTGGTTTATCCATTCATCCCCCGATAGACACGAGAGCGAGGGGGACACAGAATCCGAAGCAGCTCCAGGCTCCGAGCTGTCAGCAGAGAGCCTGACGCCGGGCTCGAACTCATGACTCATCGTGACCTGAGCCATGAACCGTGAGATCGTGACCTGAGCCGAAGTCGAACGCTTCACCGACTGAGCCACCCAAGTGCCCCATCAATTTACATTTCTATCAGCAATGTGCAAGTGTCCCATTTTCTCCACGTTCATTTTTCTGGTTTTTTTTTTAAATTTATTTATGACCAACTTCATAGATACGAAATGGCATCTCATGGCTTTGATTTACATTTCTCTAATGACATTGAGCATGTCCCCTTGGAGCTTCAGTATGTACTTTTCAATTTGGAAGGATGTGAAGCCTAGCGCTGCTGAAAGCCGCCCCCCCCCCCCCCCCCCCCCCCCACCATGAGGTAGACCAGAAGGGTGGAGGGAGACCGACCCTGGTGATGTCACTCGGAAGCCTGGACCCGGCCGTATCTGCAGGTTGCTTCTTCACCTCAAATGTTTATATGCTGATTGTCCTTTTGTCAGTTCAGCCAGCTGGAGTGCAACGCTTTAGCCTTTGCTACAAAGAGTCCTCCCTGATGGTGCCCGGGACTTGCCAAGATCACACAGCTAGTTCAAGTTAGACGAGCCCAGTATCCAGGCCTCCCACCTGCCCGCTGCCTCTATGCCCCAAGAGGAGGCTGTGAGGAGGGGTCGGTTGGGGACACACTGTTGCCATGCACTTAGGGACAGAGGCTTGGGTGGGAGGGACGGGAACAGATTTACCTCCACTCAAAGTTTTGAACTAAGGTTCTTCACGTCCCTCTAGAGACTCTCTTGCGAGCACAGCTCCTCTCCCCCACTGAAAATGCCGAGGCGACATTTTGCAGACAATTTTGCAAGTTGGCAGAAACACCCTCCCCTCTCTGCCCCTCTCTTCCTACCACCATCCATTCTGGGACCAGAGGTGAAGAACCTCAGGCTTCTAGAACGAGAAATCCCACAGGCCTCTGGAGGCAGTGGGCCTGAGATCCCGGTTCGATCCTCCAGCTGACTAACCGCGGGGCGAGGGACTTTGGGGGAAGGACAGACCGGGTTCACATCCGGGCTGTGTGGTCCTGGGCAAGTTACTTGCCCTCTCTGAGACACATCTATAAAACGAGAATATTTGTGTCTATCTGAAGGGCTGTGGGAGGGGGGTTAGGTTCGATGATGTGTGTCCTTGGCATATAGCACACGGTACTCAATAAACGTGAGTAGAGTAGAGGCTTTCAATTAGAGCGGAGGCTAGCCCAGCTCTCCAGCAGGACAGAGGCCCGATGGGCTAGCCTCTACTCCTCTGGGAGTGAGCGATGGCCTGGATGCCAGACAATCTTCCTTTGCAAAGAATGTCAAGTGGCCCATGGGTACCAAACCCAGCCCGGGCCCTCCGGTTACGAATTTCTTGCCCTTTCCTAACCTCCAGTTCATCCACACCCTGGCAGTTACACACCTGCCATTCTCTCTCCCCAGCACGGCCTTGCCAAGTTCTCCAGGATGGCCGGTCTCCTCTGGTCATGGAAGTTCATCCGGAAAGCACACCCCCCACCCCCACCCCGAGCACCCACTTGAAAGGGCTGCTTCCCCACCTCACGATTCTCTGAGACATCACCTGCTTTATCCCCGTGTCAGCACTTATAGTGTCTGGAAATGCCTTCTGTGTCTTTGTATTTGTCCAACAGGTGTCTCCGCGTGACAGCAGGGACATCGTATGTCTTTGCTGTCTCGTATCAGCAATGGGTGGTGTCAGACATAAAGCATCTGTCCAACTCCACGCGCATTTGTCGAAGAGGTGAATGAACGAAGGGGAAAACAGATGCAAAGCACATTTTCATATTACAGACAAGATGCTTCCGTTTCAAAGGTAGGAAAAATCACTTCCCCCAGATGAGACAACTAGGAAATCACGGAGCAGGATTCAAGCTTAGCTCTGCCCGACTCCGAGCCTGGTGCTCTTTATATTTCTTTTAAATGTTTATTTATTTTTGAGAGACAGAGCACGAGCGGGGGAGGGGCAGAGAGAGAGGGAGACGCAGAATCGGAAACAGGCTCCGAGCTGTCAGCACGGAGCCCGACGCGGGGCTCGAAGTCACAAACCGCGAGCTCACTGCATGGCCGAGGACAGGTCCAGCAGTGACCACCGCTATTTATGAGATGCCCGGGGACCAAGCCCCCGCCTGAGGCCATTCGCAGTGGATGCCGGGTGATCGCAGCCCGTGGGGACCCAGCCTCACAAAGTGAACACAAAAGAGGAACTGAAAGAGAATAAGGGCGGGTCGTGGAGTGGACCTATGCCGGGCAGCTCCCCCAGGTCATCAGACTACTGCACGGAAGGGTCGCAAGGTCCCCTGTCTTGGGGCGGGGCCGCGCAGGACGAGGAGGAAGGGCAAAGGGAGCTGGAGGAAAGAACCGTGAGTGTCTCTCGGACTCCGGATCCAGTCCTCCTTCCTCAAGACACAGGGGACTTGACTTGGCGGGTGGGTGGCTGGTCAAGAAGCTGGCAGACATCAGCAGTTCTTGTCATCACTGACTTCCACGTAGGGGAGCCCCACGGGCCACGTGTCCCGAGGCCAGTAGCGGACTTTGAGGGTGTGACCTGGCATCTCATACCTGGCGTCCACCAAGGCCATGGTAACCATGCCATAAGGAAAGGTGATGCTGATAAGCACATGCCTGTGGGGAGCAGGGAGGAGGTGGTGAGGGCACAGGATGTCCCCGAGCTAGCCCGATGCCCCCTCCTTGCTTCTCTCCTTACTTCTCATGGGTCCTGACCTCTCACGGGTCCTGACCTTCCAAAGGCACCTTCTGGACTTGACCCTTGACTGAAACCAGCAGCCCCCCCCCCACCACACACACACACACACACACACACACACACAGAGGCACTCCCAGTATCTGTGCCTCCCCTCTCTGCCCCCAGGCTCCTGCTCCAAGCTCTGGCATCTTGAGATTTTCTGGTTCCGGGGCTCCGTACCGCCAGGGCAGGTCCTTACCAGATGCTGTGCAGGTAAAAGAAGTTAATCCATTGCCAGAAACTGCAAAGCACGCGGTCACTGATCCAGCTGGTCAGCGCGAAAGCCCACAACACTACAGACACCTCCATTATGTGCCGAAGCTCCTCGTTGTTGGTCCTAGGGAGAGAAGGAGGAAGATCAGAGCCTGGCTCAGATAGCAGAGCCTGAAGGGGCTGATGGGAAATTCCTCCATCCAAGGAGACGAGGCCGGGAGCAGGGAATGACCAAGAGCACAAGGGGGAGGGGGCCCAATTTGTGCTCGTTGTTAACGTTTGCTGAGCACTTATAGGATGCCAGGCACAGTTCTGAAAGTCCTTCGGGTGAGGGGCGCCTGGGTGCCTCAGCTGGTTAAGCTTCTGACTCTTGATTTCATCCCGGGTCATGCTCTCACGGTTCGTGAGTTCAAGCCCCACGTCGGGCCCTGTGCTGACAGTGCCGATCCTGCCTGGGATTCTCTCTCTCTCCCTCTCTCTGCCCCTCCCGAGCTCTCCTGCACGCACGCTCTTTCTCTACCTCTCACACACAACATAAATAGACTTGAAAAACAATAATAAAAGTCCTTCAGATCAAAACTCGGCCCTGACAGCAACGCTATGATTCTCGTTTTGTAGACGAGAGAGCAGGTGTGCGAGATGAAGGTATCGCTCTAACCGCACCCAAGGTTACACAGCCAGCAAGTGGAGCTGGGGGCTGAGCCAGGCTTGTCGGACTGCGGATTTCTTAATCAACTAGCCCTTCCCTGTTTGTGAGTTCGGGGCTCTGCGTGTGTGCACAACTGTGAGTCAGTGCAGGAGAATTCCTGTCCGTGTGGCTATGAGAACGTGCATGTCCATATGTGGGAGGGTAAATTCCCTGGAGGCCACGTCTCTTGGGACGACTCACGCTCAGAATCTGTTTCCCCAGCAGCAAAGCTGACTCCGTGTCCTTCAGGAAAGAGCATATGAGGGACTATGGTGAGGCAACGACTCCTTTATAGTTTACAGTGCGGGCCCTGCCCCCTAGTCTAAAACGGGACAGTTTGAACGTCACACGAGAAAAAGAACAGTGAGGAAGCACTGGCGAAATCTGAACAGACTCTGAGGTCTAGTTAATACCATCGTCAGGGGCGCCTGGGTGGCTTGGTCGGTTAAGTGTCCGACTTCGGCTCAGGTCACGATCTCGCGGTCCGTGAGTTCGAGCCCCGTGTCGGGCTCGGTGCTGACAGCTCAGAGCCTGGAGCCTGCTTCCGATTCTGTGTCTCCCTCTCTCTCTGCCCCTCCCCTGTTCATGCTCTGTCTCTCTCTGTCTCAAAAATAAACGTTAAAGATTAAAAAAAAAATACCATCGTCAATTTCCTCCTTTTGAGGCTGTACTACGGTTACACGAGACACTCCATCGGAGAGGCTGGGGGGAGCTGGGGGAAGGAGACACAAAACTCTGTACTATTTTTGAAACTTGCCAGGAGTCTGCAATCACTTCAAAATAAAAAGTTAAAAATAGGTGATTGCAATGGATCGAAACACCTCTAGGACGTAAACATCCATGCGTTCATAATAATACTTTTTAAAAACTTTCCAGGGTCCCTACTCAGGTAAGGCCCCAACTCATTACGGTAGAAATGGATCAGTTAAAGGAAACACTCAATGATCAGTCCTATCATTCCTTTGCAAAGCGTATTTCAAGGTTGATGAGTGAAAGTCCTTCTTAATGGAGGAACTCCAGATAATCACTGCAGGAGGAATTATGGGCCTGATCAATCTTAATAGCACTAGATGTGGAATAACCACTCGTTATGGGGGCCTAATGGGATGGAAAAAGAAGCACCCAGAACCACACATGACACATTCTGGCCTAAAAACATGTAAACCTAAATCCAGATCTAAATATTAATTTTCAGGAAATACCAAATATGTGTCTATATCTATCTATATCTATTCTATATCTATATCATCTATATCTATATCTATATCTATATCTATATCTATATCTATAAACACAACGAAAGACACCACACAGGAAGCAGACAGCTACATCTAGAATATTCTACAGGAGAAAATGATGAAGCTTTTCTGTTATCAAATCAGAGGCAGGAAGACAGGGGAGGGAGGCAGAGACTGCTATGATATAAAGAAAACCTAAGAGACTGTGTTTGCATCCCGCTTTCAACATGACTAGTTGTAGGAAGACATCTTGAGAAACTGAGGCAACATCACTTCAATCTGGGTATTGTCAACTTGGTTAGCACTGTGTGCACCATATCTAACATTTGTCCCTCTAGATCCTTCCCTGACGCTCTCCGGTCTGCCCTATGCCCCAGGGAGGTGGGATGCTGAGTTGTGTGGACTGAATGCTTCCAGTTAGATTAGCTAATGGCTTCTAGTTGGATAGCCAATGGTTCCCAGTTGAGTTGGCCAATGGTTTCCAGTTGGAGTAGCCAATGGTTTCCAGCTGGGTTGGCCAATGGAGCACCCCCGCAAGAAACCAAAGGATACGGGGAGAGTACGGTTAGAATATTTGTTTCTCTGGCCTCCTCCATGTGGGGTTGACTCAGGCTAGCTGCAACCAGCAACTGGAGGTGACATTTCTTGCTAAGGAGGCCCTCTCCACAGGGCTCTCTCCTTCCAGACTCTTGTAATCACTCCCTCCCAATACCCCTACCCAGGTATCCTGATGGTCATAGGAGCCCACGCTTATTAGCACAGGGCTATCTCCTTTGTAAATAAGACTTTTATTCAGCTCTCCTCAAATGGCCCCATTTGAGAGTCCCCCCCCCCATCCTGTCAAGGTCTAGTATGGGTTAAAAAAAAACCCTCTTAATTAGGAGGGTTAAATCCTGAAAAGTTCATAGGTGCCAGTGTATGGAATCTGGGGGAATGCATAACGCAAACGCTGACAGTTGTCGAGGCTGGTTAGTGGGCACACGGAGGTTTATGGTGCAATAGTCTCTGCTTGTACGTATGTTTGGGGTTTTCATGATGCAAAGGACAAGTTCTGCTATCAGACAGCCTTAGGTTCCAATCCCAAGAGTATTCCTTGTTAGTAGATGATCTTGCGGAAAGCATATCCTCTCCTTGAGCCTGGAGTCAATGAGCACTCTGGGGCTGGG